AAAATTATGTTTGAATAACAGTGGATTTGTTATTTTAAAACAAATCACTTAAAACCTAAACTGAATACACTCCCCCAAAGAGCATTAATTCAGCGACTGATTAGAGACTTAAGATCATATTTAGTGGAATGCTTCGAGATATAGATCGAGAATGATTAGAGATTTAGGATCTTATTTAGTAGAATGCTTCGGGATATAGAATGAGTGAAATTAGATAGGAGATTTTGGGTTTGGGTAATTTTGTTCGAGTTGGTCTTGTAATCAAACTATTATTCTCGTTTCTGATTGATGTTAAAAATTTTAATTTTTTTAAAAATATATTTCAACGACTATATGAGTTAGTTATTTATGGGTCTTTTCCTTTGTTTTTTCTAGGGTACATTGGTTACACGTGTTTCAAAAGAAAAAGAAAAAAAAGTCTATGCACCACGTGATTGATTTTTATGTTCTGACTTCTGGGGCTATTAAATTGTGTGAACATCTCTCGGCAATTGTCGACAAAGAAAAATATATTATACGCAAACGCTACTATCCAAAGGAAGATACTTAAAGAAAGATAGCTTATCAACCACCACGTAGTTGATTCTTCTGTCGACCACATGACGTGATCTGTCAAGTTGCTGATCGCAAGTCGTTAATGGGTCCCCGCTTCTAACTTTGCATTTGGCTTTGACGCGTCTTCAAAAGACACTTCCACAACTGCACAAATTATTTGTGGGACTCGTCTATGATTTTGTTTCTAAGCAAGATTATTGGTGGTCCTTCCTCTTGTCCTATATATTTGTGTATTAAGGACCTAACAGCAAGGACCACCAATAATCTTACTTAGTTACATGATATTTGTTTCTGCGAAATTTGCCGCAGTTATGAATCGGCTAAAATGATGAGTTTATTATTATAATGCCCTTACAAGTTTCAAGAGAAGTTATTAGGTTGGTTTCAATAGTTTAAGTTCGATTATCTCTTCTTTCATATGTTTTAACTTGAGCATTAATGTGGTGTTCTGCTAAACTCTATTAGATATGTTTGTTGAATTTAGTTTTAATTTTCATCATAGTATTGAAAATTAGGGTGTAACATTTCGTTGAACCGAAGATTATTATAATTTTTTTTCTACTTCAGTTTAACAGTATGTAAGGTACTAAATTGTACATTCTGAATGTAAGAATTATATACTAAAACAACTAGTGTATTGTAATCGGACAAAGTAGTCGTATTAACATGTACTATTGAATTACGAGTCGCCACGAATTACCCATAACAACACCTCAAGAGTCATTGATGAGATATTTATCCACTAAGCTAACCGTACCACATGGGTAGGTCCAGAGTGTTGTCTCTTCTCCACTCGTTTCTATCAAGTTTTCTTTTTCTTTCCAGAACCAAATTTTGTTTTATTCGATTTTTCTTTTTATTAAAATTTATTTTGAGAGTCATTTCAGCTAAAGATTCCTATTCTAATGCAATCTTCAACCAAACTAAATAAAATAAAGAATTCTACATAAGTAATATTTTGGTGGATTCATTGCTAGACTCCAATATATCTAACTGCATCAAACGAAGGCCGCGCAATTACGTAAACGTGTCATACGGTTTATAGTATACAATGCCACAATCGCCTAGAGTGAGCTTTATTTAATTTGAGATTATATTGTTGGGTTAATTATTTTAATCGGAGTTGGTGATTTATAAAGGGTTTCGGGATGTTATTGCATGCAAATATCATACCGTGTCATAGGGCATGCGAAGTATCACGCAGTATGCAACACACTGCCAAAGTATATAACTTTCTTCTTAATATATTCAATCAGTTCGTATGCATGCGTCGTTTGTCTTATAAGTTGAAAGGGGAATTTTTATGCGTTCACATTGATTTCATGAATGGAAGAACAAGGATAAAAAGTAGAGATAATAACAATGTTTAAATTGTTAATCAAATTATAGTATTTTCCACTCAGTGAGGAAGATCCATAAGGTCACGTCAAAACTTAGAGTCACCTTCACGAATGGAATGGAATACTTAGAGGTTTGATCCAAGGCATATGCTTAATGGAGATTGGAATCTTCATCGGAGTTAATCTTTGAAAGAATATGCTAAAATCAAACTTCGTGTTTACCTTATGCGTGTTTGAATTGTAAAGATCCTCCAATCTATGTTTGGGACAGGCAAGTAATAGATATAGGGATGTTTGAAAACTTGGACTTTCCTTTAATCTGACGTTCCAATTGTTAGGACAAAAATGGCTTTAGATATGTGGTCATGTACATCTTTACGTACATGGTAGACGTGAGTGAGTGAAAAAGCTGGTCTAACTTTTTGTTTTGTTTTCATTCTTTTTGAGATAAAAGTGGACACAAATTTAAAACGGTGGAGTCTTATTGAAAAAGTTTTGGAGCTCTAAAGCAAGTTAGTTAAATCAAGAGAAAAATATGCCATGTCAATAAGAAAACAAACACATGACATCGTTTTAATCTGTGGGTAGGTATAATTTAAATCCATGTGTCCATTTAGTTACATTCAAAAGGATTCAATTGTGTGAGCTAATCGTCCTAGGGCCGAGTTAACATAATTTTTTTTTTAGGAATGGTGATTGACAAATGTATCAACAATCTAGTATAAAAATAAAATGCACAAAAACTGAGCAAATCAATGATGTATTACATTCAAATTCATAATTTCTATTTATTTGTATTCTCAACTCAACTTTGTTCCTTGACAATGAGTAGAAAACAAATGATCTTGTATCATTACTTTTCTAAAGAAAGGACTTTAATTGGCTTATATAACAAAAATATAGGATATTTTCGTATTCATTATCTTATGGCTGGACATACATAACATATATGTGTATATATATATATATTCTATTTTTTGCTTTTTATATTTGTTAATTTTACTCAACTTTATTTGGATATTTTCACAACAATTTATTTAAACAGTTTTTATTAGAAGATATCAACTGCATATGGTCTTCATGTTTTAACTTCTTAATAACTTATGTGATACTTTACTTATTAACCAACATGTTTTCTAGATACTTACCAAAATCCAAAGATCTTGTTTTTACTTGGATAAGGAAAGAATAATGAAGTCAACAAGCGGATGTGTTGCCTCTATGACATGAGACTCGTTGCCTCTACTGTAAGATGGTAATGATGTAAGCATACGAGTCAAAGACACTTTGATGAATGAAGTTTTCTTCTTGTAGCATATCTTCATCTCCCTTATTGACATCATATTGTGTCCTTTTTGGGCATTCACTGCTCGTTGGCAATCTGGATGACAATGTTCAGACATCTTCTGATTATAAGCGTAATATTTTACTGAGAAACATAGTTTTTATCACCGTTAATTGTATTATGTATTTTTGTTTTATTTTAATATTTTGAAGTAATTAAAAAATTTATTACTATATGTGAATAATGGACTAGTTTGTGGGTCCACATTACTGTTACATGTTTAGATAATAATAATTTCAAAGTCCACATAGATTACAAACTTCCGAGTGAAAATCTTTATGTTTTGTTGAATCCAACTTCGGCCATACATATTTAAATTCATATAGTTTCATTGTAATCTGAAATAGCTATTATATATTGTAATCTAAGGTATAGACTGAACAAAATCTCCACACTAGAAAATTTTGTAGTAGCTTGTTTCCGACTTTACTTCCAGCGTTTTTCATGAAGCGTCTTTGAACCATTTGATAAGGGTGAGTCTTCAATTTTCTAAATATAGTTTTTCTCAATATAATTTTCTTAGATTATCAATTAATTAGGTGTTTTACCCTCAAATAGGGGCTTAACAATTTTATAATTACTTATTATTAGTATATGCATTACTAACTAAAATACTATAAAGGTAAATTATTATTTATATTTTCATTAGGAATTCTTATATGCTATAATTTGTTTTGAAAAAATATTTTAATATATTTACTATTAGTTAATAAATCAAAAAAATTAATTCAATATTTTTTTCAAATATATAAAATTAAGAATTTTTATTAATATTAATTTATGTATTTTCTGCTTATGAATTTTTGATTTTAATTTTTATAAGATAATTTTTGGATAACAACACAATATATATAAGAATTGTCTTTTTAAAAATAAATATATTTTTAGATTTTGAATATTTTTTTAATGTGACAGCTCCGTTGCGAAAAATCATTTCGCAAATAATAGTATAGATTTGTAGCAAGTTATTCAAATATTTTTAAAAATAGAATATCTTAATCAACATATGCTCATGCACGCGGCACACCTGACACATGTATCTTATGCCCAAAATCAGTGTGTTATCTAGCTAAAACATACAGCTTGCATCCAAATTTTAATCAATTAGTAGAGTATTAATTCAACGACCATATGAAGTCAAATATGAAGTACTCGAGTTAATATGTTCCGCCTAGTTCACTAAACAACTTTGGACTATAAAGCCTAACCCAGAGAAGTCTTGGCTAACTAATAAGCTAATCAAATTAAGGATCGGGAATGGTATGATCTGCAAAGTCTGGACAGACAACTGATACCCTTGGCTTTCTTATGTTTCTCTGCCACTTCAACTTCCTATTTCACCGACTAGGCCTTTATTTCCTGGACATCTCTTTAATTATGGGCTTCTATCTAACCTTGATTCTTTGTTTGGGGATAACTACTGGGCATTTTGCTCTTTAAACTACTTTAGTTCTTCTTGAGCTTCGTATATTTTGTTCCAGCATTTTAATATATTGAAGCCAGTTCAAAAAAAATTTACTTATTTTGTTTTTGAAATATGAATATTTTTAAATATATTTTTCAGTATGTTAAGTTTTTCTAGACAAATTGTACTGTTTTTAATTAATAATATTGAACTGCAAACTTTTTTTAAAATCATACTTTTAAAAGTACTATTGATTTAGAATTATGAGAAATTGATAATAAAAAAACTAAAGTCAATCGTTATATAAAAAAATTATTTACATAAATATATATTTTTTAAAAATAGAGAATCTTATTCAACATCTGCTCATGCACAACAGTGTGTTATCTAGCTAAAACATACAACTTAAATCCAAATTTTAATCAATTCAACGAGTATTAATTCAACGAACATATGAGTTACTTAGTTATTTATTGGTATTCTCCTTTGTTTTTTCTACAGTACATTGGTTACCGCGTGATAGTCTATGCCCCACGTGATTGATTTTTATGTTCTGACTTCTGGGGCTATTAAATTGTGTGAACATCTCTCGGCAATTGTCGACAAAGAAAAATATATTATACGCAATAATATATATCATAATAGTTTAGTCTAGTGGTTTTTGTAATGTAAATATATAATGCATATAGTAGATGATTGTGATTTACCGTGGAAGCATTAAAAATGCGAGCTCCATCGATATGAAGTTTCAATCCATGTCTCTTAGCAATCTCTCCAACTCTATCAGTGTATTCCGCACTCAAACATCTCCCACCAGAGCTGTATGTCAAAATCCTCATAATTAAAAGACTAACTAATTAACTATTACGTGTGGTCTTGAGAAAGTATGAGCACTTACTTGGCATGTGTGTTCTCCAAACAAATCAACCTTGTTGATGGATAAAACGTGCTTCCTTTAGGATCTCTAATGGCTGCTTCTATAGCCATCAAATCCATTGTCCCATCTTCTTCATTCCTTATTGTCTTGGGATGCACTCCACCTATCGTTGATATCCCTCCATTCTCGTAAACATGGATGTGACAAGTGTCACCAAGAATCACCTCGCTGCCTCTTACGTCGCAGTGAACCATAACGCATATAAGGTTCCCCATTGTACCAGATGGCACGAACAGAGCCGCCTCTTTCCCAAACATCTTAGCCATCTCCTCTTCGAGACGTCGAGCTATTGGATCGTAGCCGAGGATGTCATCGTCCACCTCTGCACTACACATTGCTTCACGCATTGCATCAGTGGGTTAAGTCACGGCCGGTGTCTGAGCGTAGATCCACAGTTCTCATCACCATCTTGATACCAATTTTACCTATAACACATTAATTGTTATCTTCCTTTTGGTTAGAAACTCATTTGGGGCAGAGACACTTAGCACCAGAGGCTTATTAATTAATTTGTAACGACGACAATAGCTCCTTAATTAGGTTTAAACACCAATCCTAATGAGACTAGGAAACGTAATCCAAAAATAAAAAGGATAAACAAAAGAATTATACTTAAAAAGCCCTAACATGTTAGATAAGGTAACATGCACTTTCTTCTCCTAAATTTATCTTAAATAATTTGTTGTAACAGTTTGACGTTAGATCAGAGGGAAGAACATTTGAACTGGTCTATTGGGGACACAACAATATATCTACTAAAAATAAATCGCAAACCTCCCTACGAATCTCACAAATTACTGTTTTTTTATATGAGGAGAATATTAAAATGTCCCATTCCTTCTTAATATCATCATTACGAGGAACAAAACTTAGAATATCTTCAGATTTTTTTTCCCCAAACGTGAAGATTATAATGTATATTAAAATATTATTAGTACATATGAATAAAAGTGTTAGAAATAGTAATAATTGTATTGAGACTGAATCATCGACTCCCAGATGACCATGCATAACAAGTGTTTTTTAATAGTATTATCTCAAACAAGCCAAAGTATTAAAGAGTGTATGATTCAGTACGTAACTAAACAGAGGTTTTGAAGAAATAAAAGGAGAGACATTGTAATTCAAACATGAAACCAGAGGAGTACCTGTGTAAGACGAAGAAGGATGCTCTTGTTTGTGATTCCAACTTGAAGGTAGCTAAATAGCCGTTGTTATTATGACCTATACTATCAAATTAGGAAACCATGATAATTAAAACATGTGGACAAAAAAAAGCTAGGGAAAGTTTCAGATTTATTATTGCTTCTACTCTATTAAAATAGAGTCATTCTTTTTATCTACTGATATAAATTGTCATTTAAAATTGGACCCTTTCTAGAGTGTTACAAATAATACAAGTCATATAGTTGATTGAACCGAATTACTTAAATTAAACCGGCAGTTATTTATGAAATAAAGTTTTGGGCTTACTTTTGTATTTATGATAAATTATATAGTTTGGGTTTTGGGCTTATCATTAAAGAAAAACTCCAAAAAATATTGAATAAATGTTCTACCTTAATAGATCAAAAAATCAATTACTATTTTAAGGCCCAAAAGTATTTAATATTTTAACAAAATAAAATTATATATTATTAATCACTTATTTAAATCATGTACTTTAAAACATGTTAATATTTTTTTATTTTAAATAACAATCACTCTGTCTTGATAAATTTCAATGGTAACTTTTATAATAGTTTATTTTTTGTATTTTTCTTAAATAATTTACTGATTTAAAAAATAAATGTAAAGCAAAACTAAAAACCAAATCTAAAAATTAAAATCCAAAACCAAAAGCTGAAAACGTATGTTATATTTTTGCTTTTGTTTTGTTTATTTATAAAATAAGCATGTTATATTTTTGCTTTTGTTTTGTTTATTTACAAAATAAACTATTGCAATTTTGTTAAATAAAAATTGTCATCTTTTCAGTTTTAAATTAGATGTTCGATTCTTTGGGATTTGTTTGTTGGTAATTATAAGTTCAAACTAATTCAGCGGATGTAAAAGCTAAGAACCCAAACCAAAAGCTGAAAATCAAAACTAGAAACTTAAAAATTAAAAACCAAAAACCAAAATATAAAACCAAATCTAAAAATAAAGACTGAAACTAAAAACTAATGAAAAACAATCATCACCACAAATTTTGGATTACTGATTTTATACACAAAACCTAACTACATAAACTTTTAAGTAAAAAAAATTTTGCACTTTCAAGCGCAAATCAAAATCTAGTTTAGAATTTGAAACAGAGCCTCTCTCGACTTCTGACTAAATAGAACACTATTGCTTTTTAAGCAGTCTTTTTTTCATTTTGTTTGGAAAGAGATGCATCAAGCTGGTAACTAGAGGGAATGCCACGTGGAAAATTTAAGCTGATTTTGATATATACAATAAGGCCAAAGTTACGATTTGACTATCACGAGAAAAGGATGAAGTTGTGTTGTTTATGGAAAGTACACGTAACGTAAGTGTCCAAGGCAAAAAAAAACAAAGTTATTCACGTGACAAGAGTGTTATCGTCTTCTTATTATTCTCGGACGTATCGATGAAACCATAAAAGTTAATTATTTACCTTCACTTGCAATTCATCTAAGGACGTGTCTTAATTTGATATATTTTAAAATCTGCTTTGTTTATAATTATGTTAAATTCATCTATCTCAGTCTCCTTCATAACATATATATGAATCATCATCTGTAATTTGATTATAATCTTTTCAGAAAAGAAAAATCAAATACTAAAGAAAGACAAATATAACCGAAGCACCAGGTAAAGTAACGTCTGTCAACACATCTTGTTAATTACCATTAATTCCAAATCAACTAAAACTGTTCATATTATTTATTTATACAAGGAGAAGAAGAAGAAGGAAAGTACCAGTAGAAGACGGAACTCTGAGTATCGCTCACCCACTTGTCAAATACTTTTCGACAGAGTCTAAAACGTTAGTGTGGAACGCTGTGTAAACTACGGGAAAACGACCTATTTCCACACCAGAACTACCGTATAGTAACAAATGTACACAAGCTTTCAGCCTCGTTCTAATTGCACACCTTAATACTATCACGACCAATTTCCACATACGTTAATAGTTTAAACCCCGTTTCCCCCTAAACTTTGAAAGACAGACCAATACCAACATATTACGGTTTAAAGTTGGTTAGTTTTCCCTTAACCTAAAATTAACCAATGAGTAAATTAGTTAAACCAAAAACGACCCGATTAAGACCCGATTAGAGAATGTAAACCAAATTAAATCAATCCAATACCAATTGGATCTAATAAATCACCCATGACCCGATTTCCCCAAATAATACCCAATTAAAAACCCTTACAACCTTTCTCTCTCGCGGCGATCGTTGCTCCTCCTCCCCCGCGTTGCTCCTCCTCCACCCTGTTTCTCCAGACGGTTGTTCTCTCCAGGTAATTGTGACAGTTCTCTCTCTCTCTCTCTCTCTCTCTCTCTCTCTCTCTCTCTCTCTCTCTCTCTTTCCCTCTCTCTCGCTTTCTCTATCTCTCTCTTTCATTATTGTATTGTCTCTTTTTTTTTTCTGTGAATTGATTATTTTCTCTCTGTTTTGCAGAAATCGAGTATGGAACAATGGACTGACGTGAATGTTGAGTGGAATGATGTAC